AGTGACTCACTCCCTCAAGGTGTTTGGTTATAGCTAAGAAGTTTTCATAACTTTGCCCTGTTAGCTTTGCTTTGAGTATGGACATTTTTATAGCACATACAAATACATATGTAGAAATATCATCTGTCAAACCTATATACAGTCATGGGTCTAGTCCTGTTTACCTATCCATACCTGTTCATCTTGCATGTCTACCTATGTATTCACTAGTAGATTAATGTTTTTATTACTGTTAATGCAGGATTGTGTATGTAATCACATTTACCTTGTTATCTGTACCTCTTGTGCACCTCTCCCTGTCTTCCTTTTCCTTAGTGATATTGTGCTGGTCATCCCTTTTTTGTGTATTTAGCATATATTTTAAAGATATATATATATATACATATTCTAGGACATTTATCAAACAAATGAGAAAGAGTTTCTGGGGGAAGAAGTTGGAGGGATGGGTTTGGAGATAAAGGAAAAATTAAATTAATTTGAAATGAAATTAGAAAGATGCTTTGCATGGACTAAAGTTATGTTATGATCTGAGGAGTATGATTAACTATCTGCTCCTAAGTTCCAAAATAAATAAATAGAGAAAATAAGCCTTAGGGAGATTGCCCTTCATAATCCTTGATTTACAACGATAGTGCACTAACCATTGAAATACAAAGTCTTTAATTAGTTCCAGTCCATACCAAAAAGCCCATTACCAATGACTTGATTCTGACTCATAGTCACCCTATAGGAAGGACAGAGTAGAACTGTCTCATAGGGTTTCCAAGGCTGTAATCTTTATGGAAGCAGACTGCCACATCTTTGTCCAACAGAGCAGCCTGTGAGTTAGAACCACCAACCTTTTGATTAGCGGGGAAGCATTTAACCACTGTACCACCAGGTCTTTATTTAGTTCCAATCCAGAAGTGACTACTTTCCCAACTGGAGGAATGGAAGGCAAATTTAGGGATTTGTCTCACTCCAAAGAGTGCTGATCTCACAGATGATTAAGTGTCTGCCTTCATTCCCAGTTGTCCACTCAGATAAAAGACAAGACCACCCCTAAGAAGTCAATTCCGAGGAGAGTTTGAAAAACATCCTTTTGCCAAAAAAAAAAAAAAAAAAAAAATTAGCATCACTCAGAGACTAGGAAACTGGCTTGAAGACCAGGGAGGAAGTAAGAGATTAACCCGCAATTGACTGGATTTTCTTGTAAATAAATCTCTTGGCATTTGGTTTCCACACAGGTAAAATGAGGTATCCATTTGCTGGGATTTTGTAGAAAGTGCCTGAAGGAGACTGAAACACGAGTCAAGGCAATCTTTTTTAATTGCGGGGGTGGGATAGGGGTGGGGGAGGGGTGGACAGGATTTAAAAAAAATAGTTATAAAAATGAGATTTTTTATTATGGTTAGAAGTACAGAAATTAGTCATCATAATTTATCAATTAACATACTAAATGGGTGTAATTAAAATATTTTGATCAGGACTTATCATCCCACATACTTAGTTTTAAGGGGTGACAAGCAGTGAATTATTCACTTGTAAGTACTGACTGAAAATGAAATGTTCAGAAGGGTATCAGGCCAAGGAATATTTTGTATATTCATCTCTAATAGGCTTCTGAGTTGCAGAGAAAGTCAGGACCAGTGGAAACACTTCATTCTTCATATTTTGGCTGGCCAGGATGGGCTAGGGGATATCATATTTCATTGCACTGACTTCAATAGGATAAGATGTTGGCTAATATGATAACAGCATGAGATGAGATTTGGATGTTCTCAGGGACTTGTTAGGGAAAATAAAACCAGTCACTTTGACTGCTCACCAGATGGCTGGCGGTTCAAACCCATCAGCCACTCCTCGGAAGGAAGGTTGGGCAATCCTACTTCCGATCCTACTTCCATAGTGATACTGCCTCGGAAACCCAAGGAGGGGTTGCTATGAGTCAGGGCTGACTCGTCGGCACATAACAACAACAACGAAATAATAATGAATTTTGTGTTTATCCAAAACCCACTGCCATTTAACCCACCAGCCACTCCTTGGAAGGAAGGTTGGGCAATCCTACTTCCG